CCGCTCAGGTGCGTCGCCTCCCCTGCAGCGGCGCTGCAGACCACGCCCCGCCACACACATTAACCTGGTAAAATACATATGTAGGAAGAATTTTGCAAATATCTATTTTTCATTTTTTTAGCAGCACAGAGCTTTTTTTTCAATTACTTTTTCAAAGTCAGGTCAAGGCTCCAAAAGCCCAAAGGCGATATGAGGGAGGCGGCTCGCAGCAGTTTTTGTTTGCTGGATCATTTTAGTTCAGCGTCTTTCCTTTTGTTATATTTTTTTAAGAGTTCAAAATGTGTTAATTACATAAATAAATGTAATTTTCTCTGCAGCACTTCATGGAGTTCATAAGCAACACACCTTAGTTGAAGCATAAAAAAACCCAATATATGCAGTGTTATCTTCATTTTGGGTGTCAAAAAGTGTTTGCGGCTCCCAGAGTTTTCTTTTGCGTGGAAACCGGGTCCAAATGGCTCTTTGGGTGTTAAAGGTTACTGACCCCTGGTGTGGGAAATTCCTTCATTATGTCATCATCAGTGAAGAAGATTAAAGATTTGATTCGATGTTTGGTTCTTGCATTTGGAAGATTTTGCTGTGAACAGACATCATGCAGTCAGCTCTGAAACAAGCCGCAAAAACAGAAAAAACCCGTCTGAGAAATTGCTGCAATATTAGGAGAGACAAAATCATCCTGAGAAAGAAAGCAAGCACTGGTGAACGCAGCAAGGCAACAAGACCTGGACGTCCATGGAAGACAACGGTGGTGGATGCTCGCAGAATCACGGTGCAGAGAAACCTCTTCACAACGTCAAGGGAACAACACTCTCCAGGAGGAAGGCGACACCCAAGTGCAGCATAAAGAGCAGACTGTATGACACAAAGCACAGAGGGTTCGCTGCAGGGTGCAACCATTCATAAGCCCCGAGAATAGAAAGGCTCGATCGGCTACAAACATCTAAAAACGGCGGCACAGCTCTGGGAAAACATTCTTTGGACAGATGAGGCCAAGATCAAGAGAAAAGTATGGAGAAGGCGTGGAACAGCTCGTGGCGTGGAACAGC